TCTGTACTCCTGCATGTGAACTGGCCTCTGGCCCTGCTCTTGTGCTCGGACTGTGTGGTGACTTTGTGATCCACCCTGAGCTTTCTTTGCTTTGCTTTGCTTGACTGGTCTTGTGACCCCTTGTTCTCCCCCACTTAGCCTATGGGGGTGTGTCAGAGTATTATAGCTGATGCATGTTTGTAGGCCATAGTGGGGTAGCACATATGGGGTACAGGGTTTCTAGGGTTGTATTTGTACCCAATCTTTCCTTCGTCATTCTCATTCCTGTTTTCCTTGCTTCACAGAAACCCCTTCTTCTCTTTTCAATTCTCTCGACTCTACTCAACTTACTCGAACTCAACTAGCTATGGCTCCTTTAGCCTAGCTAAGCTTTTGATATGGTACAGAGCACGTAACGCTCCTGGACTCCTGCTTCCGCTGCTACTAAGTGTTCTGCACGCCCCGTGGTGTGCCCTACTCTCGCGGCCCCGCCGCCCTTCTTAAGCGGCCCCGCCGCCCTACTGTCGCGGCCTCGCCGCCTCTCTACTGTCGCGGCCCCGCCGCCCTACGTCGCGGTCTCGCCGCCCTTCACTGCGGCCTCGCCGCCCGTGCGCCGACGTCTGCGAAGCCGCCGCCCGTGAGCTGCCACCCGTGAGCTGCCTGTGCGCCGCCCGTCCGTGAGCCGACGCCACCCGCGCGCAGCCCGACAGTGAGCCGGCGCCGCCCGTGAGCCGCCCGCCCGTGCGCCACCAGCCTGCCCGTGAGCCGCTGGCGCCGCCCGTGCGCCGCCCGTCCGTGAGCCACCCGCCCGTGAGCCGCCGCCTCTGAGCCGCCCGTCCGCGAGCCACCCGCCCGCCCGTGAGCCGCCCGTCTCCTACACCTGCGGTCCCGACCCCGTCCCGGCCATGCCTCGTCACCAGCTACGGCACACCGGGGGCACGTGCACCCCCCCCCCCCTTCTTCCCGTCACCTGTCAAGGCGACCTGAGGGGTGACCTGAAAGGGGGGGGCAGTCGTCGCCCCCTCTGCCGCTTGCTTTGGCGCCCGGGGAGGCCGTGCGTCGCCCCCCCCCCCCCCCTCTTCTCCTCCTCCTTTTGTTCCCTCTGCTGCAGCTGCCGCTGGGGGGGAGGGTGTGGGAGTGTGGGGGAGCCCGGGGAGGGACTGGGGGTGGCGGGTGTGGGGGTGGCGGGTGTGGGGGTGATGGGTGATGTGTGGTCCCCTGGCCCTACGGCCCCATTCTCCTCCGTTTACCCCCCCCCCCCCCCCTTCTGCTGCTCCTGCAGCAGTGTGAGGGGGATGGGGAGGGGGAGGGGGAGGATGAGGGGATGTAGGTGGTGACCAACCAGAGCCTATCACCTCCTCTCCTCTCTCTCCCTCTCTCTCTCTCTCCCTCTCTCCTCCTCCTTGCCTGCCCTCTCCCGTACTACTACGCACTCTTGGTGTACCCCTTTATGGGGGCGTTGACTGCATATTCTTCCCTACAGGCACTTATGGGGGCGTGTCAGAATAATATATAAAACTATATATTGTTTTGTAACTGCCTGTAGTGTAGACTACTGTAGTTATACAATATTCTGTTTGGTGGTGCACCTTTCTTTTTGCCTATATGTACTGCTCGCTCTATAGTGAAACCCCTTCTTCTCTTTTCAATTCTCTCGACTCTACTCAACTTACTCGAACTCAACTAGCTATGGCTCCTTTAGCCTAGCTAAGCTTTTGATACTTCCCCCCCATGCTAGGCAAGGGATGCGGTAGCATAGTTTTTGGGTTGTTAGCGGTGACAAAATTAGAAGGAAGAAAGAGGATTGAACTAGCAGAAATGGGGATACAAATAGCAAACCCTAGAAGGGTTGTACTCGCTATAGAGCACCCCACTACAGGCTAGAACATAAGATAACATTCTGACACACCCCCATAGCCAAAGTGGGGTGTAATCAGCAGAGCAAGCAAAGCAGTACAAGCTCAGGGTGGATCACAATGTCACCACACATTCTGAGCACAAGTTCAAGAAGAAATAGTTTAGAGTTCACAATTATGAGCAAAGCTAGTGGTAGTCACAACGGGCAAGTGAGGAGGAGGAGAGAGAGTGAGGGGAGAGGAGATAGGAGGCGACGGCTGAAGCTGCAGACACACGGGCAACAGGAGGCAGACTGGCACAGCGGCTACCGGGCGAAGCCCCCGGAATACAGGAGTAACAGGCCCCGCGGCTAAAGTAGCGGCAGACGAGCAACGGACCCACGGGCGGCTGGCGTAGAAGTCTACGACTGGGCTACCGGGGGAAGTCCCCGGAATACAGGTGCTGTTGGCGACAGTACGGCAACCTCCATGCAGCTTCCCAAACAGTCCCACCCCCCGACACACACCCGCTGCTACACCGCTAGCTCCACTCCCACGCGCCCCCCTTAAACCCTAAACCCAGTCTCCCACACATCCACCCCCCTCAGCGACAGCTACAGCAGTGGGAGACGAAGGAGGAGGAGGAGCAAAGGGAGGAATGCACACCGGTCACCCCCATACCCGCCACCCGCAAGCGGCCCCCTCAGGTCGCCTCGACAAACGACGGGAAAAGGGGGGGGGAGGGGGGGGGGGGGGGGGGGGGGGGGGGGGGGGGGGGGGCCGGGGCCGCGACGGGTAGGGCGACGGGCCGCGAAGAAAAGCGGCAGGGCCGCGATGATGGGGCGGCGAGGCCGCGACAGAAGGTGGCGCGGCCGCGACCGCAGGTGGCGGGGCCGCGACAGGTCGGTGGCGGGGCCGCGATGGTGGGGCGGCGGGGCCGCGACAGGTCGGTGGCGGGGCCGCTACAGAAGGTGGCGCGGCCGCGACCGGAGGCGGCGGGGCCGCGACAGGTCGGTGGCGGGGCCACGACCGAAGGTGGCGGGGCCGCGAAGGAAAGCGGCGGGGCCACGAGAGTGGGGCGGCGGGGCCGCGACGGGTCCCCGTCGCCCGTCGCGACGCCTCCAGAGGGGTACGCGGCGAACGAGGCGGCAGAAGCCCGTCGCGCGCCTCGGGGCGCACAGCGGGCAGAGAACCGCCGCGCGACTCGGGGCGCACGGCGGGCAGAAAACCGCCGCGCGCCTCGGGGCGCACGGCGGGCAGAAAACCGCCGCGCGCCTCGGGGCGCACGGCGGGAAGAAAAGGTTGTAGCGGAAGCGTGGAGGTGGTAACCCACCCACAGGGTCGATCCAAAGGGATCGACCTGCTCTGATAGCATGACAAAATTAGGAGGAAGAAAGAGGATTGAACTAGCAGAAATGGGGATACAAATAGCAAACCCTAGAAGGGTTGTACTCGCTGTAGAGCACCCCACTACAGGCTAGAACATAAGATAACATTCTGACAAGCGGTTCGGCAGATCCAATTATGTTGCAGTCGCTGAACCCCTGTGTTGGTCTGTGCAGATTGGCGAGCGAGTGTAAGCCTAACGTGAGAGTTCGTATTCTCACCGACACAGAGATGACACAGATATGGTCGTCAAGGGGTCACGGGAACGACCCAGCAGTCAAAATCCAAGACTTTGACGTTTTGGTGGTTCCAATCTGGAACGAGTAAGTGTATTTGTGTTTGTCTTTGTAGCTCGCAGATAGACCTCCATCGCTGACATGCCTTATGATGGTGTTAAACTGCAGCTGGTGTTTCCGATTCGAGACGCCGGGGTGTGCGTTGTTCGTCGTTACTCATCCGAGCGACTTGGCACTTGCAGAAGGCTCAGTAACGCGATCTCGCAGTTTCTTCCTCGACCCCAAACGCAGAGGCAACAATGCAGGGTGGTCTAGATTTGGGTGCATGTCGGGTTGGATGAGCAGGTGAGGCTTGCAGCGCGTACCTCGGCTCTTTGCGTGTTGAAATTTGCTAATTTACGTACATTAAAAAACGGCTGCTGCAGATGGTTTGAGTATCAGGTGCGTCATGACATACGGGCCAATGAGACTCCAATGTCTAGTGAAATCGTGGATGCCTGCCTGCGGAATCTGCGCAACACTGACTTCAATGACGATCTTCTCACCGATGACTTGAATGAGCCCCTTTCAGGGGTTTGGTGTGTGCGGTTTCTACAAGACCTGCTGGCTGACATGGAAGGGTTTTCTGCTCGGCGCGATATGAAAGAATTGTATCCTACAACTCCGGCGCGCGATTTCCACGTCATGCGTGAGACCATATCGCGATTCATCAATGGACTACTTTCGGGTGCGGTGTTCCAAGTATGTTATGCAACGCCGTTAGGTGATGCCGCCGAGCCTAGCGAGGTTTGCACCCAAGATGACTCTTCTGACGTTTCAGATTAGTGAGAAAGGCTGCGTTGATGTGGCATGCTGCGTGTGTACACATCAAGTCAGAAACCATTCTACAGACACGAGTTATCTGTTCTTGTACGTACTGCCACCCTTTGGGTGGCACCCCCGTATTACAGCACTCATATGTTTGCATGTAGACTGAATGCAAAGCCAACAGAATCAAAACATGCGTAAAAGCCTGGTCACGATTCCGAACTAGCCCCACGTAGATCGATGCTGAATTGACGCCATCGATGCCACGTAGATCGATGCTGTCAAACCAAGGTTACATTTTCACGATTCATAAGATGAAACGTGTTACATGACATGTTCATGGTAACAACTCACCTTGTTACATCCTTTTCGCAAAGTCAGCATGTCGGCTTGACTAGTCACAATATGACGTATTTACCCACACACGGACATGCTATAAAGAAACGGCACATTAGTGATTAGCATCCCGTCACCAGAATAGCGGAAAACATGGCTTTACGTAGAGTGAAAGTACAGTTTCGCACAGGAGGTCACCGCGTCCTCTGTGAGAATGATATTGGGTTGCTGCTTGATGACACGAAAGAGCTCACCGATCTGACACTCGACATGGGTCTCCTGTACGTCGTCGACTCATTTGACTCTCGTGGAATACAGATATACATATGTCGCTCAGTATCATGCTCTCCTGGCACATTTGTAAGCAGATGGGTTATGAAACGTCTCACGAATCACTTGCTACCTCTCTCTGCGAATTTCTATGACATCCCAGTGCCTCCATCCGTGGGAACCATGTCCTTCATCCTTAGTCCCTCTCTCACCATTGCTTCTCCCCTTCACTCATCTCCCCACTCCCCACCTCAAGGCGCTATGTGCGTCCGCGAAACATGCGTGCGCCCCCTACTTCTACCTTTGTCCCCCGGAGGCTCCACCTCTCCCCTCTCACCACCACCCACATCATTATTCCCTCTCTCTCTTTCACTCCCACCTTGCTCTCCCTTTCACTCCCACACTGCTCTCCCTTTCACTCTCACACTGCTCTCTCTTTCACTCCCACCTTGCTCTCCCTTTCACTCCCACACTGCTCTCCCTTTCACTCCCACACTGCTCTCCCTTTCACTCCCACACTGCTCTCACTTTCACTCCCACACTACTCTCCCTTTCACTCCCACACTGCTCTCCCTTTCACTCCCACACTGCTCTCCCTTTCACTCCCACACTGCTCTCCCTTTCACTCCCACACTGCTCCCTCCCATCCTCCAGGCGCCGTGTTGCTGTGGGACATGCGTGCGCCCCCCTCTGCCTCTGTCCCCTGTAGTTGCCGCCCCTCACAGCCCTCACCGCCCCCACATCGTCGCTAGCAGTGGCAGGGCTGGTGTTCTCGTATGGGGGTCTGCACGTAACTACTGCCGACTCTACAGGGGGGCTTCGAGTGCTTGAGGTGAGGCTTAAGTGCTTGAAGGCCTTTCAGACTCGTAGTGACAGCTGTAACAGGGCTGGTGTTCCCATTCGGTGGGCTACATTTCACTGCTGCTGACTTCACTGGGGGCTCAGGGTGCTGGAGGTGAGGCTTAGGGCTTTACGATTGGCAGTGACAGGACGACTGTTCGTAGTTAAAAAGGCTGCTCTGTCAGGATGGCCGTTTTTTAGATAAAAAGGCTGCCCTGTCGGGACGACTGTTCTTACATAAAAAGGCTGCCCTGTCGGGACGACACATAAAAAGGCTGCCCTGTCGGGACGACTGTTCTTACATAAAAAGGCTGCCCTGTCGGGACGACTGTTCTTACATAAAATGGCTGCCCTGTTGGATGTTGACTCCACGGTGAGGCTCAGGGTGTTGGAGCGGCTTTAAGGGGCTGGTGGTTACTTATGCGGAGAATGCACTGCACCATTTCTGCACCGCCCCACCCCACCATGCACAGCTTGCATTGGGCCTCTACTCATCCCACCGCCATCCCATCCTCCTCCCTCCTCCTCTGCCATGTCATCCAACTCTCAGATGCGCATGGGTGGTGCTGAGCTGGCGTCTCAATACTGTCCAGGTGGCGGCCTCACGTGCTGCCAGCCTCTCGGCGACCAGTCTATCCTCGCTGGCAGGTGAGGAGAGGAGGATGGCAGGTGGGAGGATGGCAGGTGATGAGAGGAGGGAGTAGGAGTAAGCAGCACTCCTGTACGACTACAACATCTTCTGTCTCATTGTCTGCATCATGTCACAAGTTCAACTAGAACATTCCTCGGTTTCCCCACCTTGCCCTTCCCCTGCCTTTCTCTTCAGTGATTTGGCCGACGTTATTGCATGGGCGTGGGAATCTGACCTTGAGCTACGTCACCCTCACTCCCATGGTGCCACACGGAACCACGACAGCCTTTCTGCGGGTGTAGCATCTCAAGGCTTGAGTTTCTTTTTGACAAAAGTTAGAAGAAGAAAGAGGAATGAACTAGCAGAAATGGGGATACAAATAGCAAACCCTAGAAGGGTTGTACTCGCTATAGAGCACCCCACTACAGGCTAGAACATAAGAATAATATTCTGACACACCCCCATAGCCAAAGTGGGGTGTAATCAGCAGAGCAGGCAAAGCAAAACAAGCTCAGGGTGGATCACAATGTCACCACACATTCTGAGCACAAGTTCAAGAAGAAATAGTTTAGAGTTCACAATTATAAGCAAAGCTAGTGGTAGTCACAACGGGCAAGTGAGGAGGAGGAGGGAGAGTGAGGGGAGAGGAGACAGGAGGCGACGGCTGAAGCTGCAGACACACGGGCAACAGGAGGCAGACTGGCACAGCGGCTACCGGACAGCGCCCGGACTACAGGAGTAACAGGCCCCGCGGCTCAAATAGCGGCGGACGGGCAACGGACCCACGGGCGGCTGGCACAGCTGGCTACGACTGGGCTACCGGGACAGCGCCCCGGACTACAGGTGCTGCGGACGACAAGCCGGCAGCCTCCGCTCAACCTTCCGCAAACAGTCCCACCCCCCTGATACACACCCACTGCTACACCGCTAGCTCTACTCCCACGCACCCCCCCTTAAACCCTAAACCCCAGTCTCCCACACAACCACCCCCCTCAGCGACAGCTGCAGCAGTGGGAGACGAAGGAGGAGGAGGAGCAAGGGAGGAAGGCACACCGGCCACCCCCATACCCGCCACCCCACAGCTCGCCCCTCCCGTCGTCCGTCGAGGCGACCTGAGGGGGCCGCTTGCGGCCCCCGAAGGAGCCGCGACAGGCGACGGGAAATGGCAGGGGGAGGGGGGGGGGGGGGGAGGCGGGGTGGTGAAAGGGACCCACCACGGGCCTGGTTGGAGGGCGGGGCCGTGAAAAGGGGCGGGGCCGCGACGAGGGGCGGGGCCGCGAAGTAGGGCGGGGCCGCTTCGAGGGGCGGGGCCGCGACACAGGGCGGGGCCGCGACGTAGGGCAGGGCCGCGACGGTCGGGCGGGGCCGCGACGTAGGGCGGGGCCGTGACGGTCGGGGCGGGGCCGCGACGTAGGGCGGGGCCGCGACTGTAGGGCGGGGCCGCGACGGTCGGGCCGGGGCCGCGACGTAGGGCAGGGCCGCTTCGAGGGGCGGGGCCGCGACGCAGGGCGGGGCCGCGACGGTAGGGCAGACGCCCGCCGCGCGCCTCGGGGCGCACAGCGGGCAAAGAACCGCCGCGCGCCCCGGGGCGCACGGCGGGCAGAAAACCGCCGCGCGCCTCGGGGCGCACGGCGGGAAGGAAAACCGCCGCGCGCCTCGGGGCGCACGGCGGGAAGGAAAGGTAGCAGCGGAAGCGAGGTGGAAACCCACCCACAGGATCGATCCAAGGGGATCGACCTGCTCTGATAGCATGACAAAAGTTAGAAGAAGAAAGAGGAATGAACTAGCAGAAATGGGGATACAAATAGCAAACCCTAGAAGGGTTGTACTCGCTATAGAGCACCCCACTACAGGCTAGAACATAATAATAATATTCTGACACTTTTCTGTGCCAATTATGTCGTCTTGTGTGTCCTCCCTTGTTTCCGCTAGTGTTGGGAAGAACTCGAGGGCGATGGTCGTGGGTTGTGAAGAGGGTTCCGCAAGCTTGGTAGTATGATATGGCATGAACACCGAGGCATATTGCTGTACATAATTTTCTTTGCCATTCCAGGTACAATGTGTAAATATTTTTAGAAACTGTATCACATTCCTTTTTTTCATGCATGCAAACATGACTATACGGTACCATTTAATTCATAATTTACTCAACAGACCATATTGGAAACCTATAATTCTCTACAACCCTTGGAGCAGCTGCTTTCAAGCCTCCGAGGGATAACGCAGCATCCCAAAAGCAGGATGTTCTTATTCATCAAAAACTGGTTGTGATTTGAATCCTCGTCTCAGATTTCGTCGTGCCGTGCGAATCCCGAGAAGAGTTCACCGCCTGCCTCAGAGAAAAAAGAGTCAGCGATCACGATATTCATAGCGAGTGTCATGGCGGTCGATGTGTCCGCTCAAGTAGTCGACGACTTCCCTCCTCTCGGCTCGCTGACGCTCGAGGAGCAGGTGAACCCGGGGATTTTGTCTGACTCCTTCTGTTAATGTCGAATCTTACTTTCACTTACCGCTATTTTCGCTCGCCAAGGACATATAAAGCTGAGTTTGCGACAAATCGTCTAATTCCCGTTAACGGATCATCGTGCCGAGTCGCGTAAACTTACTGAATCCCATATAAGGAATTCGTGGTTAGAATCTAGAGGATGCACAAGTGAAACGGGTTTCGAGGAGGACGCCAGGCTTGTACTCGTTTGTAGCAGCAGCTACTCAGTGACAAAAAACTAGCCACAATTACTTAGAACACTCGATTAATGAAACCGTTACTGACGTCCAAAGCCAGCATGATTACTGGCAGCAGCATTGCTGGCGGTTCTGTCGCCTCTGGATGCCTTACCCTCGTCTCTCGTCCCATTCTTTCCGCATTCTTCCCCCTCTCCCCCCATCTCCCCATCAGGAGACAGCAGCATGTGTGGCGGTTCTGGCGGCGCGAAATGCCGCATCTCCCAGACCCGACGCATATCCCACCCGCGCACTCGTCCCTTTCCCCCGTTCCCCCCAACCCCCTCAGAAGACAGGAGCATGTGCGGCATTGCTGGCGGCGCTAAGGGGCTTCCCCTCGTCGCTGGTGGGAATCCGCCTGGCTAGCGAGAGGGGCTTGCGGCGGGCATTCACCCGCGCGCGTATCTTCTTCTGTTCTCCCTCTGCCCCCCATTTCCGCCCCCCTCCCCTTTCCCCCGAACCCCCCCCCCCCCCCCAAAGGAGACAGCAGCATGTGTGGCGCTACTGGCGGCGCTGAGGGGTTTCCCATCGTCACTGGTGAGGATCCGCCTGGTGAGCGAGAGGGGCGTGTGACGGGCCTTCACCCGCATGCGTTCCGTCTCCTGTTCTCCCCCTGCCCCCCTTCCTTCCCCCCCAACTCCCGTAGGAGACAGCAGCATGTGTGGCGGTTCTGGCGGCGCTGAGGGCCCTCGTCGCTCGTGGCGAACAAAAGGGGCGTGCGGAGGACGCTTTTGAGTCGACTCAAAAGTTTTCCCCCCATCCCCTTTCTCAGGAGACAGCAGCATGTGTGGCGGTGCTGAGGGGCTTCCCCTCGTCGCTGGTGAGGATCCGCCTGGAGAGTGAGAGGGGCGTGTGGCGGGCACGTGCCAGCCTCGTGGCAGAGGCGCCTGATGCTCTGCCCTACAACATACAGGTGCGTGCACTTTTGAGGCGCCTCAAAAGTAAGATCCGCCTGGAGAGTGAGAGGGGCGTGTGGCGGGCGCGTGCCAGCCTCGTGGAAGAGCCGCGCCGCCTGACCCACTGGCTGACAACATGCAGGTGCTTGCGTGCGTGCGTGCTTGCGTGCGTGCGTGTGTGCGTGCGTGCGTGCGTGCGCTTGTGCATTGCGGCCCCTCATTCGTGGAACCTCCCTCCCTCCCTCCCTCCCTCCCTCCCTCCCTCCTTTCCCCTTTCCCTCCATTCCTTCCCTCGCTCTTTCCCCCCTTCCTGCCCTGCATCCGCCAGGCGGAAGCAGCTACACTGCTGCCTTTGATCGCTGACACCGCCCTCCTGCGCCACTTCACGGAGTGCCTCGCGCGCCCTCTTTTCCATAAACACTCCCTCACGCCACCCCCCCACTCCTGCTTCTCCCCTCACGTCACTAGGCGGAAGCAGCTATTCTGCTGCCTTTAATCGCTGACACAGCCCTCCTGCGCCATTTCACAGAACGCCATGAGTCATCCTGCTCCCGTGCCGCCATGCTTCACACGTCGCTGCCAGCGCCGCCCCGCCTGCCTCTGGAGCAGCAGCACACGAGCCAGTGCCTGCAGGCCCTCGCCCAGGCCGTCCGTGTGTTCCTTGATGTGAGTTCTGTAAGACCGTTTATGTGTACGAGCCGTGAGCTTTGGGAGCCATGAGCTTTGGGAGCCATGAGCTTTGGGATGGATGCACACGTTAGTGTCAGCCAGAGGTGCCTGGCTTGACCCTCGCTGGAGCAGCACCACACAAGCCAGTGCCTGCAGCCCCTCGCCCAGGCCATCCGTGTGTTCCTTGATGTGAGTTCTGTGAGACCGTGTATGTGTACAAGATGAGCCGTGAGCTTTGGGATGGATGCACATGTTAGTGTCAGCCAGAGGTGCTTGGCTAGACCCTCACTAGAGCAGCACCACACGAGTCAGTGCCTGCAGGCCCTCGCCCAGGCCGTCCTCGTGTTTCTTGATGTGAGCTTATCGTCTGTTGAGTCATTTCCATTCTTGCTTCTTATGTGTCAACCTGTGTTTTGACCCTTTAGATGCACACATTGTGTTCCTTTCTGTTCGAGAATTCACAAGTGCGATGCTTGCAATGTGTCAGTCGTTGTTCCTTTATCCCGTACTTAGCGTCGTCACATGCCATGCAGCTTTTTCACATCCGCCAAGCACAGCACCTTTGGCCATGGCCTTGCTGCCATGCTTGAACGCAAGCAGGAGAGACTAGTCGCACTGACATCTTCACTTTCGTTGCACGCATCTATGCTTTTAAAGTGTGCCAAACTATGTTACCGCATGCCACCGCATCCCACCACATGCTATCTATCCCATACTACGCTGTGCCACCGCACACCACCCCTTCCCTGTGCCTGGCAAAACACAGCCATGCTGCTATGCAAGCTGGAGAGCCAGTGTGAGGGCCATGGCATGAGGCTGCTGGAGCTCAAGCGGTGCATTCAGGTATGGAGTGGTGCCGTGTAGCTCAAAGCACCCATACGTGTATCAGAGTGAGGGGGGGCAACAAGTGTGCATGCGCCTGGATCGTACCACGAGTCTCCCTCTCCTCACACTGCTGCATGCAAATCCTCCAGCGCCGCTCTGTGTGCTGCCATGTAGCCCATACCAACTGGAGTGAGGGGGCAGCAAGTATGAGTGTGACTGGGTGTTACCAATCTCTCACTCCATGCATTGCTGCTTGGATCCCCCCCCTCTCCACCCCTCCTCCAAGACCCTTCTGTGTGCTGCCGTGTAGCTCATAGCAGCTGGAGTGAGGGAGCAGCAAGCATGAGTGTGAATGGGTGTTACCAATATCTCAATCCATGCATTGCTGCTTGACACCCTCCCCCCCGATGCCCCTCTGTGTGCTACCATGTATCCCATACCAGCCAGAGTGAGGGAGCAGCAAGCATGAGTGTGAATGGGTGTTACCAATCTCACTCCATGCATTGCTGCTTGGCAACCTCGCCCCTCCTCCCTGAATGTCTCTTTCTGTACTGCCCCACAGCCCGTAGCGGACGGAGTGAGGGTGCTCACACCCATCATGAGAGGGGTGGAGGATTTCTGAGTCGACTCAAAAGCCAATGCTTTCCCCCCTCCAATTCTTCTCGGTGTGCTTCCCCACAGCCCGTAGCGGATGGGGTGAGGGTTCTCACACCCATCATGAGAGGGGTGGAGTGGAGGACGTCAGAGTCGAAAACAAGTGTTCCCCCCACAAATCTTCCTTCTGTGTGTTGCCATGCCCCACAGCCCGTAGCGGACGGGGTGAGGGTGCTGACGCCCATCGTGAGAGGGGTGGAGGACGAAGGATGGGGTTCCACAGAGGTTCTCGACATGCTGCATGCAGCGGTAGGCAGAGAGGGGTATGCAGCGGTATGCAGCGGTATGCAACGGTATGCAATGGCATGCAGCGGTTTGCAATGATATTCAGTGGTATGCAATGACTACAGCAGTATGCAATGGTTCACAGCGGTATGCAATGGTTGCATCGGTATGCAATGATATATACAGCTGTATCCATTGGTATGGAGCAGTATCCAGTGATTGCATCGGTATGCAATGATATATACAGCTGTATCCATTGGTATGGAGCAGTATGCAGTGGTTGCATCGGTATGCAATGATATATACAGCTGTATCCATTGGTATGGAGCAGTATGGAGTGGTTGCATAGGTATGCAATGATATATACAGCTGTATCCATTGGTATGGAGCAGTATGCAGTGGTTGCATTGGTATGCAATGATATATACAGCTGTATCCATTGGTATGGAGCAGTATGTAGTGGTTGCAGGGCTGTACGCTTGGCGTGGTGTATCCGAAGGTATGATGAAGAGAGTGGTATGCAGCGGTATGCAGCGGTATGCAGTGGTATATATGCAGTGGTATGCAGAGAGTGTTCACAGACACACTGACTGACTCGTGCTTCAGAGAGTGGTATACAGAGAGTGGTATACAGAGAGTGGTATACAGAGAGTGGTATACAGAGAGTGGTATACAGAGAGTGGTATACAGAGAGTGGTATACAGAGAGTGGTATACAGAGAGTGGTATACAGAGAGTGGTATACAGAGAGTGGTATACAGTGAGTGGTATACAGAGAGTGGTAAGTAAAGAATTCCCTTCGTTCTCTCCCTCCTCGTTCTCTCCTCCTCGTTCTCTACCTCCTCGTTCTCTCCCTCCTCGTTATCTTCTCTTTCAATCCATCCACCCATTCCCTCCCATCCCACATCTAACCCCTGTCCGACTTCCTTCCCTTCCACCCGCTTCCCTTCCTGCCCAGTCCACCCGACCAGATGTGAGGGAGGCGGAGGGCCTCATTCGCTTTGTGCTGCAAGCTACATGCGCCCCCTATCTTCACCTCCTCTCCTCGTACGTGTCAGCTCTGCACCTCGTTTTACCCCATTGTGTTGTGGTTTTCTTACCTCACCTCACATTCACCCTCCTTCCATGCACCCTCCTCCCATTGTGTTGTTGTTTTCTTCCTTCCATGTTCGTTGCAACCTCCTTTCCTTCATCTCTCACGTACGCCTATCTTTAACTCCTCTTCCAATTCTAAATTCCTAGTTATCTCTCTGTTTCCTAGTTCTGTAGTGTCACATTCTCTCTCTTTACATCTCCTCTCTTCATCATACGTTACTCACATCACATGCGCATCCTTCTTCATCTCATTTCTTCTTGAGCGGTCAAGTTTCATGTTCTATTTGTATCATGCCTGACCTGACTGACTCCCACCTGACCCGACCTTATCGGACCTGACCCAACCTTATCCCCATCCCATCCCGGCCTGACCTGACCCGACCCAGGCCGGCCCGGCCTGACCTAAGCTGACCTGTTTGTACTATCCCACCCTCTCTTACATTGAGCTCCTAACCCTGATATCACCGCAGCTGCTGTTAGTTTCATTCTTGGCCCCGCCCTCCTCCCTACGCCACCCCTCCCCGTTCTCCCCCCCCCCCCCCCCCCCCCCCCCCAGGTGGATGCAGGAGGGCAGGCTGGAAGACGACATTCACAGCGAGTTCTTCATTTCCGCATGCACCACTGCTTCTGCAGACGCACACACAGCTACCACTGATGCTGAACCCACCAATTCCACCGCGCCTGCCACGAGGCAAGGGGAATGGCGGGGTGCACAGGGGTGGGAATGGGCGAAAGTGGAAGGGCAGCGGTTTGTATTGCGGTGTGATGCGGTGCCAGTGCTGTTCCGGTCGGTGGCTGACGATGTGCTGGCGACAGGGCAGCTGGTGCATGCGCTCAGGCAACATGGGTACTTGAAGCAGGTGGGTGTGTGGTGTGTGGGTGGGGTGCAGAGAGGTGGAATGAGGTGCGCGCATGGGGTGTGCTGGCCACAGGGCAGCTGGTGCATGCGCTGAGGGAGCATGGGTACTTGATGCAGGTGGGTGGGTAGGTTTGGAGAGGACCATGAGGTGGGGTACTGAAGGAAATAGATGTGTCGTTGGGTGTGTGTGCTGATAGTGCTGATGTACTGGCCAGGGCGGGCAGTTGGTGCATGCGCTCAGGCAGCATGGGTTGTTGAAGCAGGTGGGTGGGTGGGGTGGGGTGGGGTGGGGTGGGGTGGGGTGGGGTGGGGCGGGGTGTGCAAAGGAATTAGGTGTGTGCATGTGATGTGTGTGTGGATGGGGGTTGTATGCAGCGATTCAACGCTGCCCAGGGGGCAGCTGGTGCATGCGCTCAGGCAGAATGGGTACTTGGAGCAGGTGTGTGGTGGGGTGGGGTGGGGTGCTAGAAGGAAATAGGTGTGTGCATGGGGTGTGGTGTGTGTGCTACACGGGGCAGCTGGTGCATGCGCTGAAAGGGAGCATGTTGGGCGGGTGGGTGGGTGTGGGTGGGTGGGTGGGTGGGTGGGTGGGTGGGTGGGTGGGTGGGTGGGTGGGTGGGTGCATGGTGCGCACTCATGCACGGTGTATGCAGTGCAATGAGATCGACCCCTTTCCACATCCTCGCTCTGGTATGCGCTGAAGGGAGCATGGTGGGTGGGTGGGTGCATGGTGCGCCTTGTAAAGCCTGTGCTTGGGTCAACACTCCCTCTCCCTTCTCCTCTCCTCCCTTTTACACACCAAAGCTGACTCCGTCAGCGGAAGAGGCAGAACGACCACAGATGTAGCTGGGCAGTCTAGAGGAGAGCGTGGGTACGCGCACGCAGGCAGTGCAGCAAGCCATGCTAGACCTCATATTGAACAAGGTAGGTAGGGTAGTGGTGCATGAGATGCTGCTGGAAGGGATAGGGTGCGGGTGGAGAGGAGAGCGTGGGTGCGAACATCCAGGTAGTGCAGTGCATCATGCTTACTAGACTTGACCCAGCTTGCCACTTTACCTCGTGCCTGCTAGTACATGCGTGCATAACCTGTATGTCGCCATGCCCACCTTTACGCTTGCCTGTATTTTGCCAAACCATTTTGCCAAACCACCAAGCGTGCGCGATTTCCTGCCTTTCATTCCGCGGGTGCTTTTGTTCCCCAAGTAGAGGGCTAAGAACACAAGTCGATGCCCTTGCATGAATGATTCAAAAGATGACGAATAGCTTCAACAACACACATCACACTGCATGGCTGACCTTCTATTAACAAATCCCACCGTCCGTTGCTCGTCTTCCCCGTCGTCTCCCCCTGTTCTGACCCATGCCCGTCTCTTATCTTTACAAAACAGAGCAACCTTCTGGGGCATCTGCTCACCGTCAGACGAGTGCTGCTGCTTTCCCAGGTACACCTCATTCTCGTTATATAGTTTGTCAGTCCATTACTTTCCATCCTTCTCGTCAACCATTCTCCCACGTTCTGCCGCCAGTTTTGACACGTCTTCAATTCAAACTCATAGTTTTGAGTTATCTCAGAATTATATTCATCCGTCCACCCCCCCCCCCCCCCCCCCCCCCCCCTCTATCTCTCACTTACTGCCCCTCACCCTCGCTGCACTCACTGCCCTTCCACCTCTGCCCCCAGGCAAACTTTCTTTCGGACTCCATGGCACTGGTGGGGGAAAGGTGGCCCTTTGCAGGCGAGCCATGCTCATCTCATCATATGCTTTTTTGAGGCGCCTAAAAAATCCTCTGAAGGCGAGCCATGCTCATCTCATCATATGCCGTCCTTCCTTGGCGCGGCTTCATCAAGTGTTTCCTCGTTCCCTTCTCCCCACCCTCCTTTCCTCAACCCCCGTGACTTGGCGGACTTCCTGTCAGATTTCATGGCGCTGGCAGGCGAGGAGCTCTGCACAGCACTCTACCCGTGCTTATCATGTGCCCATCCTAGGCACAGGCTTCGTCAAGTCCTTCTCCAAAACCCCCCACCCCACCAGGCGGACTTCCTGTCAGATTTCATGGCGCTGGCAGGCGAGGAGCTCTGCAAGCCGGCCAGCAGGGCGTCACAGGCTCGCATTGACGTGAGCATGCCCCATGCCCCATGCACCAAGCCCCATGCCCCATGCCCCATGCCCCATGCCCCATGCCCCATGCACCATGCACCATGCACCATGTACCATGCCCCATGCCCCATGCCCCATGCCCCATGCACCATGGAACATGCACGTTGCACGATGCAATGCACGATGCATGTTGCGACATACATAATGAGGGGCCCCAAGATGTAAGAATGTAAGGGTATTTCCATCATCCCACTGTCATTCAATGTCAACGGTATCCTCATGCCATAACTCCTGAAGAGACCCCAACTGCGATCTCAATAACTCCTGAATGTCTCGTTACGCCATCCAAGCCATATTCTCCTCATCTCGTCCCACCCCTTCTTTCCCCCCCAGCTCTCACTAGGTGCCTCTCTCCGCGCCTCCACAGCAGCCACAGACCCTATTTGTTATCCGGCCTTTTGCACATGTGTGACCTTTCATTATCCTAACCCTATTCTCTTCATCTGTTGCCCACCCCTTCTTCCCTCTCCAGCTCTCACTAGGCGCCTCTCTGCACGCCTCTGACCCAAACTGCGACCGCCTCTCTGCACGCCTGGTGAGCACGGATAATTGAGTGTCTTTTGAGGCGCCTCAGAAAAAGTCTCCTCCACTGCAGCGAATGACCCAAACTGCGACCGCCTCTCTGCACGCCTGGTGAGCATGGGTGGATGAATGAATGTATAGTATGGATGGATACACACATGTGTGCAGGTGAGCGTGTGAGGGCGTGTGTGTGTGAGAGAGTTACATCTTGAAGGATGCATTGTAAGAGCGCATGGATGGATATGTACTTGCTTGTGCACACATGCATGCACAGAAGAGAAGAAGCCCTTTCCTTCCCCATCCGGGCCATTCCTCCCCCTCCTTCCCCATCCGGGCCATTCCTCCCCCTCCTTCCCCATCCGGGCCATTCCTCCCCCTCCTTCCCTCGGTGTTCTTCCTGTGCCTACACATGTCCGCCGCGCATCCCCTATATCTACCTTGGGCACCTTACATACCTTTTGATTCGCCTCGAAATTCATCCCTTCACCCGCGAGTTAAGAACCGTGCATGCTAATAAACTCCTTTCATCAAATAGACGCCGTTGCCCTCCCGTCAATGCACCTCACCTCGCGTACCAATTCCCACTCACCCTTCATTCATGTCCCCTAATGTCCCCCCATCTTGCCCCATTTAGGTCCCTGCCGATCCACCCAGTCCCTCCAACTCATCGCTTCAACAGCAGCCCTTACATTCACAACCTCTACAATCACAATCGCCGCTCCTACAGCGCACACCAGCACAGCCACCACAGTCACATCTGCAGCAGTCACGGGAGAGCATGGACGGTGCAGATCTGCTGAGCAGTCTACAATCCTACGATCAATACGAGGACCTGCTGGGGCCTGATGCAGATGACGCAGGTGGTGACTCTCACGCTGCTTATGCTGCTGCTGCTGCTGCTGGTGCTGCTGCTGGTGGTCGTGGTGCTGATGGGGATAATGGTGGTGATGGGGGTGGCAAGCAACTCTACAGCAACCCTCTATCGCTACTGCCCCAGGTCACCCCTGTTCGGCCAGGCAGCCCTGCAGCTGCAGTGGCGGCGCAGGCAGCAAGGGGGGGAGGGGCTGAACGCAGGGGAGCTTCAGGGGAGAGTGGATGGGAGGCTATCTGTATCGACTACCAGGTGGGCTGTTTTTTTCTTTTTTGTTTTCTCTTTTTAACTTGAAAATCGCCCCATCACACGCGGGTGGGAGGCTATCTATATTGACTACCAGGTGGGTCCTTTTTCCTTGCCTTCTCCTTTTGTTTTAGTTGTCTCGAGAATTGCCCGATCACATGTGGATGGGAGGCTATCTATATCGACTACCAGGTGGGTTGATTTTTTCTTGTCGACTAGAGAATCGCCCCATCACCTGTGAATGGGAGGCCGTTCATATCGACTACCGGGTGGGCTCGGTTCGATTTGCCTTTCGGCTCGGCTCTAGCCTCTACCACATGTGGAAAACCGATTTGAACTCGACTCAAAACCGATTTTTTATTTTTTTTCCAGACTACTTACCATATGACTCGGCTGTATCGATGATGTTGGCCCCATCCTCCTTTTTTTTGGAGGTTGATTTTGAGAATTCTCAAAATCAACTGCCAGCTGTATCGATGGTGGTGCTCTCTTCACTCCCCTTCCCTTCTCTGTCCTCACCTCACCTGTTACCGACATATGAGCTCTTTCTTCCCCATTTACTGCAGGCCCCCTGGCCAGTATCCATATTTTTAGTCGATTCTAAAATAGGCTCCCTGCCCAGTATCCATGGTGGTAGGAGCCTCGTGCTAATTATCATCTGATTCCTTCTCTCCTCACTCCCAACTGTCACCCACATGTAACCCACCTCTTCTTCCGTCCCCACTCAATACAGGCGCCCTGGCCGGTATCCGCGGTGGTGCCCCCATCCGCCCTTCAAGGTTACAACCGTCTTTTCCGCTTCCTGCTCGTCTCACTCCCATCTGTTGGCCACCTGTTCTACCGTCCCCATACATTACAGGCGCCCTGGCCGGTATCCGCGGTGGTACCCCCATCGGCCCTGCAGGGTTACAACCGCCTCTCCCGCTTCCTGCTCGCCTCACTCCCATCTGTCACCCACGTGTTTCCCACGCTTTCTTCCGTCCCCACTCACTGCAGGCCCCTTGGCCAGTATCCGCAGTGGTGCCCCCATCCGCCCTGCAGGGTTATAACCGTCTTTACTGCTTCCTGCTCGTCTCACTCCCATTTGTAACCTATCTGTTTCCCATCTGTTCTTCCTTCCCGCTTGCTGCAGGCCCCTTGGCCAGTATCTGCGGTGGTGCCCCCAGCCGCCCTGCAGGGTTACAATCGCCTCTTCCGCTTCCTGCTCGCCACCAGGCGAACCCACCTGCACCTCGCCCTGGCATGGTCTGCCCTGCAGGTAGGGCCGTGGGCTATTGTGATGTGATGATGGTGATATCTGTAGGGCCGTGGGGAGTGATGGTGATGGTGATGGTGATGGTGATGGTGATGGTGATGGTGATGGTGATGGTGGTGAACCCACCTGCACCTCGCCCTGGCATGGTCTGCCCTGCAGGTACGGCCATGGATCAGATGATGTTGAAGGTGATAGCTGTCTTGTAGAACCGTGGGGAATACTGGTGTGTGCACCAAAGGCAAACCCACCTGCATTTGGCCCTTGATCTCGCACGGTCTGCCCTGCAGGCCGGGCCATTAAAACCATACACGTCAATGCGCAAAGATTTAACCTAGCTGCACCCATCTCCACTGCACACTGGCTGCACTGCAAGTGTGCTGCGCCTGCTCCTCTCTACCGCTGCTGCTACCGCTGCTGCTGCCGCTGCTGCTGCCGCTGCCGCTGCCGCTCCCATCCCACTGCCACTGCCGCTGCCACCGCCACCGTTGCCATTGCGTTGCTACTGCTGCTACTGCCACTCCTGCCACTGCCATTGCCTCTGCTGCTGCTGTTGCTGCTGCTGCTGCTGCTGCTGCTGCTGCTGCTGCTGCTGCTGCTGCTGCTGCTGCTGCTGCTGCTGCTGTCAGAACTTGAGCTTAGAATTCATGCACTAGTAATGAGCTTGAAGCTTTTTAAGTACATCCAAGGTGGGTAAGGAACGGATGGGGAAGGAAATCGGGGGCAATCTTTAGGGATTGGGGGTAATCCCAAGGCAATCTCCAATTGGTGGGTTGGAGATTGCTTGGAGAGCACATCTGGGTTTGGTTGGGATGTGGGTGTACACCCAACCGAACACAAAGTGCAAACTACACTACACTAGGATATAAAAAGTGCAAGTACGAAATAAGAAATTGAGCGCTAATACTAACAGTTGCTGATGCTGCTGGAGTAGGTTTAGAATGCTGCAGTACTCAAACGCCCACCTACTGTTATTCCTGTTTCATCCGCGTGCCCTGTGTTGACTGCGTACGTGTGTGTGCTCTTTCCCCTCGCCTCCTCACTCACTTCACCCACAATTCCCATCCTCCCACCTATGCTCCTTCTCTCTGTGTCTCTCTCCATGTCCCCTTCTTTCTTTTGCCTCGATCCCCCCTTCCCCTCCACCCCACATCCCACCCCAGCTGACGCGGGGACTGAAGGTGGAGGGAACAATGCTGCAGCGCGTGCACTGGCTGCGGCATCGCATGGCGTGTGCTGTCACTGCTATTCTCGACCACGTGGCACATGCGGTATGTGTGTGGGGGGGTGGGGGTGAGGGGATGGAGAGAGGGGAAGGGCGTTTGTGGGTGTGTGCGCATGTGTCTCCTTCCATCCTGGCTGCAGAATTGCGTGGCATCTGCTGTCACTGCCCTTCTTTAAAAATCTCTTTTTCCCCTTCCCTCCCCTTTCCCTCCCTTTCCTTTCCATCCCTTTCCTTTCCATCCCTTTCCTTTCCATCCCTTTCCTTTCCATCCCTTTCCTTTCCATCCCTTTCCTTTCCATCCCTTTCCTTTCCATCCCTTTCCTTTCCCTCCCTTTCCTTTCCATCCCTTTCCCTTCGCCTCCCTTTCCCTTCGCCTCCCTTTCCCTTCGCCTCCCTTTCCTTTCCCTCCCTCTCCCTTCCCCTGCCTTTCTTTTCCCTCCAATCCCCTTCCCTCCTCTCATGATAACTTTCCCTTTCCCTCCTTTTCCCTCCCTTTCCCTCCCTTTCCCTCCTCCCTCCTCCCCTCATGATACTGTCTGGTGATAAGCCCCAATTTCAACCTCATGACATCCAGACTCACCAACGCTACCTCCTTTCATTTCTTCCCTTCCTGCTTCCTTACGCCTTTCGTCCCGTTTCCCCCCTGTCCGAACCGCGTCAGGTGATAAGCCCCAATTTCGACCTCATGACATCCAGTTTGACAAAGGCTACCTCCTTCCACCAGGTGACTCACTTTCTTCTGGTCACCACCATCTTTTTCCCCTCCATCACTTCATCCCTTATGCAAACCTCCAGAACCTGCTGCATCTGGTGTAGCGAATTTGATTCATTTAACACGTCCCTCCCTTAAGCCCCATTCTTCACTGGATTAATCACTTTGTTGCAACCTCCTCCTGCTGCATCTCGTCAAGCACTTACCCTTCGCCACATGAGCACATGAGCACATGAGCACATGCTCATCTCCCTCCTCCCTCGCATCAACGTCACGGTTTGCCCACAGCAGCACCAATCTGTCCGCATGCTTTCAGTCTCCGCCTCCCAATCGCACGGCCAAGCGTTTTTCAGAATTATATATATATGCATATAAACGCCTGTGTAAGAAAAACGCCAATCCATCCCCATGCTTTCCGTCTCCGCCTCTCTAATCGCAATGACAAAGCCTCACATGTCAAGATTGGTTAAAAGATGGTTATTTACTCCAAATGGTTCTGATCTCCCATCCTCGCTCGCAGTACTACATCAGGCTTTCTCTATTTTCAAGTCTTCAAGAGTGCTATGTTATCCGTTTTCTTTTCTTTGCTTTTGGAAAGGCACTTTCATCGGTCATTTACTGTCTGCCTGCACGTGTACAGCTCGTGGAGGAACACCAAACATTTCTTCACACGTGTCTCTCAGAGGGGCTTCTGGATTCCTGCCAGCACATTCGAGAGGTGTGTAACGCCTGCCTGCCTTCATCGTATTTGTGCTACTTCAAAAAGCTGAGTAGCAGCGTGGGTCATGGCGGCGTGTACTGTCCTTGCTTCTAACCTTGCTCACGCTCACTAGGTGTGTAGCGCCTGCATGCCTCCCTGTGTGGTGATTTCAATGCTCAAGCAGTATGCACTGCAGTGTGGTGAGTTCCTGCACGTGCCATTCTCACTCGGGCTCGTGACGAGGTTTGAGTCGTCGCAAAACTGTGTTGAGTCGTCTCAAAACAGAAAAGTAACACCAACATACTATGCACTGCAGCATGGTGAGTTGCTGCGCTTCCCTATCTCACTCGAGCTCGGCCTTTTGTTTTTGTGGCACAGTGTTGTTGCTCAGCCATTTTGCCGCAGTGCATTCAATGCATGGCGTCCCTTTCTTCCATCCCGCCATTGCTCCTGTTGAGAGTCTCACAAACAAGCAACCTTCATTGTTTTTCTGTGATTCTGAGATGCGCTTGGAGAATGGCATGGTCGTCCTTCCTTTCCAGAAATCTTGGAGAAATTTTGAGATGCGCTTGGAGAATACTTGATAACCAGCTTGGCCATATTTCCTTTCTACAAGTACATCTCGCCTTTCCTGTACTTTGCCTGCACAAGGTCTCGGCTTCTCCTTATGAAAAGTTGTTCGCCCACTCAACTGCCAAGTGGTTTCCCCGACTTTCTTCCCCCCTTCCCCTTCTATCTCACCCACCTCCCTGCAGAAACTATCCTCCCTCCTCTCCATCGCCCTTCGCTTCGCCACCACTGTCAGCACCACCATCCACACAGCCTCCTCTCTCCAACCCTTGATTCGTCATCGTCATCATCAGCAACAGTAGGAGGAGGATGGGGAGGAGTAGGAGGAGCAGGAGGAGGAAGGGGGGGTCATGGGGTGGAGGGTAGAACCAGTGGAGGCGAGCTCTCTGATTACGCGTACGGGGATGCCACGTCAGATGCCAAGGGGCGGGCGGCGCGGGCGGCATTCCGTCGGCAGTTAGCGGCAGAGGAGCTACAGCATGGATTGGAGGAGGAGGGGTTTGTTGAAGAGATGAGGTGTGTGTGGGGAAAGGGAGAGTGGCCGAGAAGGAGGAGGGGGGTAAAGAGGGGGGATTGAAGAGGGGTTTGAGGGAGACATTGACTTTTCACTTAATTTATCACTGCTTCTCTCCATCTTGTCTCCTGCTCCCACCATCTCCCCATTTCTTCCTCTCCCCATCCTTCCATCCCACCAGGGCCTCACACACTGCCTTCACAGCTTCTCTCCGGGCCGCCACTGCTGCCATCGCATCTGCCCTCCGAGACCATCCTCTGCTGCTCTCTCTGCACCTCGCCCTCTCCGCCGTTGTCAAAGGCCTTCCTTGAAGGTTCCCCTTTTTGCCACAATGGTGGTGCAGGTGGCCAGAGTGAAGCGTGTCGGGAAGTCACAGTATGACCAACCCAGAGATAAGTTTTTTTCTGCGTGGAATTCGGTACTGGAATACTTGCAATACACCAAATAGTGGTTGTTAATCGATAAACGAGTCGTCTCACGAATCATAATTTGTACGAATCCTATATTTTCATGTGTGTCTCTTCCTAAACAAGGTAGTCACCAGACAATCCAAGCTTCAGGGTTTCATAATTACACCGCTTAGAATGTTAATCTGGTTCTCAATCACTTGTTTTACCTGTATTTTGGGGTCCACATCAGGTTCTCTGTATCTTGTTTTACCTAGGGTGGAGCTCCTGTAAGCAGCCCGTGGTGCAATCCTAGTAACGGGTAATTTATGGTCGTTCAGTTGCCGCATCTCACGGGGAACGCGTTCAACTTTGGGACGTGTTCAGGGATTCAGCAGAACAGCCGACCTCGGTGCTATTTCAATTTCGCGACTTCGGCAACCATTACGATTCAGGCTGACAGTTTATTCGTTTCAAGTGCCGGTAGTGTCCCCAGTGCGGAGCAACCTCCACAGCCTCGGGTCAATGCAACCCAACGATCTCTTCATCCCGCGGTGAAACTTGAACTAGAAATTGCCATATTTTAAGCAGAGATCCAGAGGTATGTAGCGAACACTGCTTTCGAGTTACCTGAAATGAACCAGCTCCTGAATTGGGACTTGAACGGAACTCGACTTGAACGGAACTCTGCTTGACTTCAAACTGATTGACCTCTCCAGGCCCTCTCTGAGTCTCGTTTCTGCCACAAAGCTCCATGGGGGACCGCGGAAACTACTTGTTCATTGGTCCTACTCTTAGTCATCACGAAATCTACTTATTCATTCGTCCTACTCTTAGTCATCGCGATCCACGACCAATGGCATTCTCTCAAGCCGTGGCACAAACGCCCATCCGATTCGGGCCCGGTTTATCCGCCATGCACCGCGGAGCCTACGTGTTCATTGGTCCTACGATTCCTATCGCGATCCACAACCAATCAAATTCCCTAAAGCCGTGGCGCAACCGTCCCTCCGATTTGGCCCCGGTTATCCGCCATGTGCTACCCTCGCCCTTCAGTTTTGTATTTAACAGTCCTATTTGTTGACGGTAAGCACGCCTTCTATCTTCGCCTCTCAGAGTCTGATTCAATTAGATCACTACTAGAGCTACCACGTCTACCAATAGTACCTCTTTTCCTGAGAATGGCGCGTCTAAGCGGAATTGCGGCTCTCTCTCTCCTGCTAGCCGTTGCCCTCGTTCTCTCAGCGTATGCTTCGAAAGCGGTTGCCCAGCAGGTGGAGCGAACTTCGGATGGTAAGTTCCCCCCTCCTCCTTTTCCCTCATCTAGTAATGTATCCTGAATTTTTCCGCATCACGGCGTTCGCTATGCCTGCCAACCAGTCGCAGTTGGGAGATTTCGTTTGTCTGCAAGGGTGTGAGTTGTTGCTGCTGACTAAAAAACTATCCCGAATCCCCGAATTCTATTGTCCATTTGAGTGGCCCGCAGGTAAATATTCGTGTGCTGATGTGAGGAAGGGCCAAGATACGTTTCTATCCCAGTATTGCAAGACCCACTTCTCCTTTTGCGACTCGCCGACGTACAATTACTATGACAATGATTGCAAACGAGCCCCTGAAAGTAAGTACGCTGCCACCCACGGGACACTAATGATGGCTTAATGGTGGCATAATGACGACTACATCCTACTTGCCCTGCATCATGTTGCCATATCATGTTGTCACATCATCTCAAAATGCAAACTTGTTGTTCTTTTTGTGTCACAAACTGTCACAATTCACTACCTGTCATTTTCCCTGTTTTTAGGCCCTCATGCTGTCACATCTTCTCACTGGCCATGGCATCACAATCTGGTTACTAACCCTCGCCTTTCCGTCACATCCTGACTGGCCCCCAACGTTTATGCCCTTCTCAGAAAGTACCCTCCGTTTTTGGTTTAACAGGTTCTACTATCAGCTGAAACCTTGAAAGGCTCCAGCTCATCACATGAGGAGGGGGCAGCGGCGGTGTTAATCATATCGTTTAGATCTAGGGTTTCGGGTTGAGAGAAGACGCCTGCGTTGCTTAATTATCACTGTGCACTCCTCACCGTAGCAAAGAGAAGCACGCAATATCGAAGCACGGACGCGAAGCGTCAGACAGTTACGAAAGTGACTCGAAGCGTCAGACGGTTGGGGCGCATCTGGACCGTCGGAGCAGATAGCCAGGCCCCACGTTATCAAGGCAAAACATCCTGATTACCTTGAATTCAGGATGCAGTGTTAAATTTACCTTGTCATTTCAGAATAGTGTAAATTTTGACCCTCAGGTCTCAGGATGTTTTTATATGAAATGCGCTGAACATTCAGAATGGCTGTAGTGTTCTTCCTTGTAGCGTCAGGATGAATGCAGAATGTTGGAAACAGTGAATCTTAAGCGCCTCTGTCGTGTCGAAACACTGCACCAGAAGCGAAGTAAACCATATCGAAGCACCCACGAGTCAACCCTCGAAGGTTGAGAGGTTGCTGGAGATTACGCGAAAGTCAAAGGTCAGCGACCTTTGACCTGACAAATACAGCGCGACAGCAAGGACACACAACTGACTCGCTACAGAGCAGTTGCCCGAGTCGTCACTGTATCGAACCGCAAGGTGGTTCACAACTCTTCATTAACGCTTCCGCTATTACCGTAATACCCCGGATAGAAGCGCATCTGCGCTTATAATAAAACAGTGTTTTTTAGGGGGGTGCGCTTATAAATGAGTCAAAATTATAAGCGCATGCGCTTATATAATAACAAACACAGAAATATGTTATAAACGCACCAAACTGTGCATTAGAGTCTTGCAATTTCATTCAAATCGAAATGTGTGGAGCGTTCTGAATCAGAATCTCGCGAGGGCGATTCTCTGCTGGCGCACAAGGGCAAGGACACGTCACTTTCGCATAGGAATGTGTCATGCTCGCACCATGAGAGTGTACGAACCAATAGCTTGCAGTCGCTCGTTCGCATCGCACAGGCTTGCCCCAGTGTACGACCAATAGCCTGCAGTCGCTCGCTCGCAGCGCACAGACAACAGGTGTTCCCGAGCCCTCCTGTCAGGTCAACTTCGCGCTGTTGCGCTTTTACTGAGCGAGCCTGCCCTCGAGGGAGTCAAACAGAGTAGAAGTGGATGTGGACTCGCTTTAAAACGGGAAGTCGTTACTGTTTTAATCCGTTTTTTTGAAATATGTTTATACATGCGCTTATAATAAATCAGGGTTTTATAAGGGGTGTGCTTATAATTGAGGATCGGCCATAAGCGCATTGCTCCAGATACAAGCGCATGCGCTTAACATAGGCCTGCGCTTCTATCCGGGGCCATACGGTACAACATTACTCTACCCCGAGTTCACCCTTGCAAAAGATCCTAAGGGCTTTTCTCAGCCCAACATGGTATGAGAGCTCACAAGGGGAACTCAACTACTATCAAGACACCGTCAACATCACAAGACATGGCAACAAACAAGGAAAGGAGCTTCTCTAACGGCTCCCAGGGTACTACTCCTACTCCACCTCCTGCCTCTGACCTGCAGACAGAGGAGGGGACAGCAACAAGACCAAGGGCGATGTCTACTAAGACTCCCGCAAATCACCCTGCGGACTTCGACCAGAGCATGATGGAGAAGTTCTTCTCCTTCATCTCGTTCTACGAACAACATCAGCAATTGGCACCTGCGCAGTCACACAACAGCAACAACAACAGAGCGACCCCAATGAGTCTTGACAGGCCATCATACGCGCGCGGAAACCAACAACAGCAACCTGCCTTTGCTCCGTACGAGCGCGGGTCAATCAGCTTCATGCCACACCCGCAACCTTCACCACTGGACGCTTTACAAGTTCAGTCGCAGTTTGCACGTTCTGAAGATGCAGATGTCAAAGCCTTTCGACGGAAAGGACTTCTTTACCTGGTCGTTCGAGTTCGAGCTAATGATGGAAGGCGCGCAGATACTTGGCTTCTTCGATGGGTCCCTGCCATACCCAACAAACGGCATACAGTACGAGAAGCAGCAGTACACCTATTAGTCAATGATGGCGTACACGATCCTACTAAGGAACGTCACACCAACACAGCAGCAGAACATACGGTCTTACCGGACCTTCGGCAACTCGGCGGAGCTTGCATACAGCCACCTGAAGAACCTGTATCAAGCAACAGACAGCGTAAACCAAAGCAGGTTAATGGCGCAGTTGACAACAGTTGAAATGAAACCAGGCGAGAAAAGACTGGCGTATATCAGTCGGTGTCGCGAATTGCGCTACAAGCTTCTTCAATGTGGAGGGTCGATTGCTGAAGACGCCTTCGTGACGGTTATCATCGGCGGCATCGGTCCTCAATGGCGCGCCACGTAAGCCATTCTCCGGGCACATGGAAGAATCTCCGAAGCAGCGCTCTGCGCCGAAATCCATGCCGAACAGCAAGATATGGACCTGCAAGAAGGACGACATAAAAGAAAGACATTAGCACCGGAATTCGCGTTCCACACTCAACGACGCTACAACAACAACAACCGGCAGCAACAGCCAAAACCCGTACCTCCGTTCTACCACATCTGCAAAACTTCAGGACATCCGCGCACGCACTGCCCGAATCGTCAACAGTCAACAACTCCTCAGTGATAACTTTGACCTTCAAACAACCAAGTCACCTCAACGCAAGCGAATCCCACGACCCACATTCAAGCTTCAACAACTTCAACGGGACAACCTGCACAAGGAGCAAGAAACATTGTCAGCTGCATGGCAAGGCTGAGCGACTCTTGCATCACGGGATCACCACCACACTACTCACCAGAAGAACAGCTTGATGAAAGAACTCCACGCCGCGAGACACTGGAGCCGAATCCGACATACGCAGCTATCGCTCAGAGCGAACCATCCGGGAAGGACACGTGGTTCTTGGACAGTTGCTGCGGACAGCACATGTGTTCTTCAGGACGCTTCGTGCAGAAAGAGTACCAACTTCAACGCGAAGTCGTCATCACCGTCGCCAACAACCAGAACCTGCGCACACGACGACAAGGAGTAGTTCAACTTCAGTCACGGGAAACAAACGTCATCCTGCAAATGTCCAAGGTTTTAATTGCAGAAGGCCTCGGATACAACTTAATCAGCGTTAGTCAACTGATGGCGAAGGGTATTGATCTTGAAGCAGACACCACCACCCAGGAGTTCAAGCTATACCACGGGAGAGGAGGTCTTTACATCGGGAAGGCAGTCTTGAAGAACAACGTCTTCATCCTCGACTTTGTCCCTGATCTCGGCACCGCCGACAGCGATGCCATCGTTAACTTCACCAACTGGACACACCCTCCAGATCTTGATCCAGACTTCAGTCCAGAAGGCTTCTGGTATTCACACACCATTCCTGAAGCAGAAAGAACAAGGGCGTTAGCAACGATTCAGACAACATCGGCAGCAGCAGAGACAACATCGGCAGCAGCAGAGACAACATCGACAGCAGCAGAGACAACATCGGCAGCTGCAGAGATAACATCGGCAGCAGCAGAGACAACATCGGTAGCTGCAGAGACAACATCGGCAGCAGCAGAGACAACACCAGCAATAGTAGGAACGACAACACCAGTCGCTGGTCCTTCAACAGCACCGCTCTTCGTCGACAACACACCACCAACACCCGCATAGCAGCTTTAGCCAACACCACGAGAAGTTCATCGTAGCGCCAACTTCACTGCCAACTTCTACTCCAACTCCGATTTGTACCAACGATCATCCGGACATCGCGCCGACGAAAGCACCTGGCACGCAAGGATGGGACATCCAAGCAACACAGTATTAAACAATTTGATAAAAGCAGGAGTACTTGACAATGACTCACTCCTACTGACCGACGGACGAGAACTTCAGCGAGTACGCGGAACATGCTTCACCTGCCCCGAAGGTGACTTACCATATCGATCGTTTGTGTCTCACCATAACCCAAGCGCACCAGCTTACACACCACTCGAAAAGGTATACAGCGACATCCTGTACAATCGCGAGCCGGGACAGAACACGTACCTCTACACCATCACGTTCATCTACGCCGCGACACGCTACGTTTGGCACCTGAATCTCCCAAGCAAAGACATGGCGTTCGAAGCATTCGTTGCGTGGCTTCCAGTAGCAGAAAGGGAATCGGGCGTCAAGCTGAAAAGTTTTCGGTCAGACGGGGGAGGAGAATATACCTCAACAAGGTTCAAGAACTACTTGGCAGAGAGAGGAATCAAGCAGCTCATCTCCCTTCCCTACGCCCATCAACAGCAAGGTGTAGCAGAGAGGATGAACAGGACCCTCCAGAACACCATGCGGAAACTATTACGTGGCATGCGGCTACCCACTCACCAGTGGCTAGAAGCAATGGACCACGCCGTGATGCTGCACAACTTGCTTTCTTCGTCGTCACTGCCGAACAACACATCACCGCATCTGCTGTGGACAAGAAAACTGGGCAGCACAAAAATGTTACGAGTCTTCAGCTGCATGGTACAGTACCGACCTCCATCTGCACAAGCAGGACGATTCTCCCAACGGGCACAGTGGGGACTACACCTGGGCATCGAAAAACACTACAACGCATGGAAAATTTTCGACATCGAGACAAATGAAACAGTGGCAGCACGTGATGTTATTTTCTACAAACGACTCACCTTGCAAACGTACCTTGCCAACCTGGATGAAAATCAAGACCCCACAGGTGGTTTCCGTGGAGACCGAGCCTTCGCCTCGGTAGACGACGAAGCTGACTGGGACGAGCAGAACGTGGAAGGAGCCTCGGAAGCAGCCGGACCACTCCTGTACTGTTCCGTCGATGTCCCAATGGATGACGACAACCCTCGCGAAAGCATCAACGCCGAAACTTACTACCACTTCGCTGACAACAGTTACGTTACACCTGCACAAGTCAACACCGACGAAGCTGAACGCATAGGGCCAAATTTCGCACC